GACAGCTCCAAAGATAGTTTAACTAGTTTAACACCCTAATTGAGAAGGCTGTCTCTCCTCACCAAGACTTAAAAAGTAGGGACAGCTTTTGTCATTGGGAGATTTATGTTGGGGAAGGCAATTCTTGTTACATGGCTTTTCCATTCCTAATTTTCTTCACGTAGAGAAACAGTGCCTAGCAAGTAACTCCTTGGAATAATCATTTGGAACTTGCATCTATCTTCTTCCAGTCTTAACTAAGTTTGCCAAATATTTTGAGATTAAAACATTCTGATCTTGAACATTCCCCAGAGATCAGAACACCCTGTTTCAAAGTTGGATCTCTTCCAGTTTGCTTGGAACAGCCTGTTTCAAGGTCATCATGGCATCCCAAAATTGGAACATGTTGACCTTAAAATGTTTTGCACACCTATATGGCCTTAACTATTTTTTATATTGCTTACCCTTTTACAGGACACCGTTACCCACCCAAATGGAAATGCTCCAGAGCACTTGGTCCCAGTTAATTCTGCAGCAGAAATGAGAAAGCGAAGCCCCTCTCTCCTTCCTGCCAACAAAGGGACTGTGCTGCAGAAAGCTAAGGTATGGGGTCCATTTTCTTACATGAATGCCAGTTCTTTCCTCCTCTAAAGCCCTCAAAGTCCTTCTATTATATCCCATTTACATAACCCATAGTTTGCAGTGGGTTTCTATACAGCCCCATGGATATGCCTGTACTGCTGGCCCCATCCCACTGCTGCCTGAATATATTGGGGAAGCAGACATTTAGGATGGCTCTCCTCACATTCTCGCCTTCCTAGGCTGAGTTTCTCAGCTTGCCTCCAGCAGTGCTGGCTACAGTGGGGAATTTAGATAGGGGGCCAAGGATCAACCCTCCTCCAGCCATCCTGAGTGAATTATGGCTGTGAAAGAGATTGGAAAGTAGGTGTGCAAACACACACACACACACACCAAAAGATTGCCTATCATAAGCTTGGGTCCAGGGGGGCTAGGTGGGGTGGTATCTCTTAATTTCCTTATCTCCTTCAGCTCCCCCTCTCCTCAGTGTTTCTGATTTAATGGTCTCAGAATTATTCCAACAAGCAGGTCACACCACCCCCAGGACCTTTGGCCTAGTTACAAACCTGCCCACTCATACTGTATTGGTATGGTCAAAGCCATTCACACCATAACACCAAGTGAGGCCATTTTGCCTCAGGCAACTGTTGCTGGGGGACTGGAAACAGGGCAGCTGGGTGTGCCAGCCTGCCCTCTTTTGAAAACAAATTCAGTTGCTGGTCCTGTCAACTCTACGCATCAAATGGAACGCTGCCATCTCGCTTTTTGCCCCTAGCGCAGCAAAGTTAGGGCCAGCCCTGTCAGAGATTGCTGCTGTTTTGGTGGCAATGCAAAAATATATTACTTCTCTTCAAAGGTATGACATTTCTATACTAGAAAAATATAGTAAATATTTGAACACAAATATTGGTGAGAATGATGTTGTTGGTGAGACAAGGAGGAATACCAACACTGAAGAAACAGATTCACTTGGGAAAGTCCCTGAAGGATTCCTCAGCAGCATCCAAAGGATATTCAAAGAGTAACGTTTATCCAGGGTACATAATCGTGTCTCACTAAATTTCCCCTGTCTGTGAAAGTTCAACTAAACCTAAGATATATACTCTGGTTTCAGGACTCCATTCCCTGCATTCCTTTCTTCAATTTATTCAAGCACGGACATCTCCTTTGTAAATCAGCAGCCCATAATACTGTTTTTTCCTTTTTTCTAGGAATGGGAAATGAAGAAAACATAAAGGATCTCTGGGCCTTCATCCCTGAGGAGAACTCCTCTCAAACACAGGGACACTCTTGAGAAAGGCTAAAGCACCACAAGAGCCTTTCACCCTGCAAAGAAATTGCAGAATACTGAGGAACTTGGTTCCTCCACAATGAGAGCAGCCAACTTCCAGTAAATGAAGGATTAACAAGCAGACGAGCTTTTGAAAACTGATGTGGGTAATAGGGAGGGAGGGGGAGTTTGGGAAGCAGTGGGGGAAGAGAAATCTTTTCAAGGATTTGTGTGTGTGTGTGTGTGTGTGTGTGTTCTTAGAGTATTTTTTGTTGAATGGCCTAAAAGGAGCAACTCAGTAGGGCTAGCATGCCAAGCATCTGGATTGATCATTTTGCTCTTGGTAACAAAGCAACCAGAATATGGATATTTTCATGGTGGGGATGATGAGTTTGTTCAGAGATCCTCATTCTAAAAAGATCATCTAAAACCTTGGGCAAATCTTGTTGCAACTTCTCTCACACGGGAAGCCAGATGAACATCCCTCACTGCTAGGAAATGAGGCATGACACAGAAGTGCCTTATAATCAGTCCTCTTGGAGGATGTTATTTAAGCTCCTGATTCAAATCTCCTTGTTTATGCCAAATTACATCAGGGCAGCAACTGTTGAGCGATGGGGGCACAATGAAGAGTCCCAAAGAGAGAAGACCTAGTCAGAATGATGTTTTTAACTCAGGACTGTCAATTAGGAATATTCTCACAGTCTCTCTCAGGTTGCTATTTAAGATGTTCAATGTGTTAAATAAGATCAGTAATGATAGGAGGACATGAAAAGTTCCTGGGTTTGGTTTGGTTTGACCCATAAGGACAGATTATGTCATCCTGCCTCAACTATTGTTACAATTCCCCTTTTCATCTTTTTCTACATAATCCAATTTGTAATGAGAAAGGACAGTGAAGAAATGGATGGCTATAGCAAGAGAATCAGCTTCTGCAAATATATCTTAAAAGGTGCTACCTCTGGTCAATGGGACTGCTGCTGAAGGATTTCCCCCCATAAATTAGCCACTGGAAGATGCTATGTGTGTTCATGAAATAAGTTACCTTATACTCCCATTTCTAAGACGATTCCTTCTTTTAGGGAGCAGTGGACAAGTTAATTTTACTCTCATTTTGCACTATATGGAGGTTCAACTGCCTTAAAGCGCATAAGGTCTCCGGTCAGTTTCAGGCTTACTTATTCTTGGAAAATGTGAAGAAAACTAAAACTGGAGCACAGCCTGAAGAGGAGGCCTCAAGGAAAGCCCCCAGTAATGTCTACAATTACCTTCCTGCTGTGCCATTCCAACAGACCAGAAGTTATAGCAGTTTGCCTTTCATTCCTAAACAGAGGTGGGTGGGTGCTTTTTTTCTTTCTGGATGCATATCGTGGCATATCTTTGATTATTTAAGAATTGTCTGCACTTTAACATCTGGATCCTCTGCTCCACTGTCCTTCAATAAAAGATTATCTCTGTACAGAGCAGTATGTATTCCTCGGTTTTTCTTCAATTTTTTAGGGCAATGTTGGGTTGCAAAATCATACACTACATTAATCTTCCCTAATTTTGTACTTTCCACTTCTGCTGGATCAGCTCCCTCAATTCCCCATGAGCTTTGTCACTGGTCATGCTGGGAGATGTTTATGGGAGCTGATCTAACATTTGTGGAAGGCACCAGGTTGGAGAACACAAAACTAAAACCACCGCTCCATCACTTAAAACAAACCTCTCAGAGGTTTGTAAACATATGTTAGTTACCTCTTTTTGAATTTGGGTCAGAGAACAGCTGAAAACATTTACACAATTATCTTGATACAGGTATGATATCTGAAACTCTGCTGTTCCATGGAAAGGTTCCTTGGGCTCCAAAATCCAAGAAAGAGGAAAATTGTTATTTTTAAAATGGCCCACACTCATGACAGAATCACAATTATTTCTAGTTTCACAGATAATAGTATTGCCTGTGGCTGAGAGAGATGAAGATGTCAAGATGTCATAGTGCCATATAAGCCTGTTGTCTTAGAAGCTGCTGGTCTGGCAAACAAGCAGAGGAGAAAGGCAGAGGACTCCTGCTGTCACGTGTGATGATGTCTCCCCAGGTCTTTTTGCACCAATCAGCATTGGGGGCTGCTACTCTGCCAGCAGCAGCAGCTGCTAATACAGCAAAGCAGTGGCACAAGAGGGTTCCTAGGTCACAGAAGTGGGCAAGGAGGATGAACTGGCATCTTGCTTTAGTTAATATACTTTGACTCCCTACACATTGCCAGAACAAAACCTGCTGAAAACCACCACTGAATAGAATGTGAACATGTTTTCAATTTACAGTGACAGTTGAGTGGCTTTTCATGAAACTTATTATACTTCTCAATTCCAAATGGCTCTGAGTAGCTTACATCAAGCAACAAAAAACATTAAAGGAGTTTAGGTTAAACATAGGGTAAGTCAATGAAATTTTCAGTCCTACCATAAATTATAAGTACAGCACCAGAATGGCCATAAACATATACATGTTCTTCTTGGGGGAAAAAGGGCTTTTTGTAACAGACATGGTGGGACCCAGGCTCTGACAGGGATGGATGGCTCTTAAGATGGTTGAGAACTGATCTACTAGAATGTGGGTCAGAGCTAGATTGCCAGCAACTAACACCTTCCACAATATATTGCCCATTCAGGGCTCCTGAGCACTTGCTTCAGTTAGAATGCTGCTCTAATTAGATTTATGATGTATTTATATCCAACTTTTTCACTGAGGGCAATATTTGGCAGCTTTATGAAGAAGGGAGGTCTTCTCTAATTTTACCCTCACAAAGAAAACCCTATGAGGTGGGTTGGCTGAGAAAGTAACTTAGAGTCACCCAGTGAGATCTAATGTCAAACTGAGACATAACACTAGATTTAATGGGTCAACCACTACACTACAGTGGCTCTAGTGTAGTCTAAGCTAAGCCTATTGTATCTGGGCTTCAAAGATCCCTACAACCTCCAAATAGCAACAGAGACACAGAAAACCCTATCTGTTGACATCCAACAGTCATCGGAATTTTTGCAGCCCAGATATGATAGCTCTAGTTAGAAGTCACGGAGGACAGATCTGAGAAAAAAACATTTGTAACATGCACGTCTGCAATAGCGGAACTTGCTGAAACCCAGATAGTTGATTCAGTTCTGTGAGTCTTATGACCACAAGTCATAATAGCTTCCTCCTAAAAAGTAGCCAGCTTTTTATTCACACTTTTTTGCCCTAAAATGGTAATTTCTTCGACAACCTTTTACATGTAATTCTTAGCGCAAAAGACAACCCGTAAGATATTTGGAAAACGAAGGGAGCTGAATTGGTCCGTAGTATAAGAAAAATCTCTCAATTCACAGACAATACCGGTTAGCTACGACAAAGGCTGAGCCAGGAAAGTATTATGGCCGGTCCAGTAGGAAGGCTCCCGTGCAATATTCCTATTACATGGTCAAATATACAGCACACCTGTAGCATTTTTGCCTGCCACAATAGAGGTAACGCCCTTCCCCCTCCGCACTCGCTCTCCTCCAACCTAACAAATTCCCCCCTTCCCACGAGGTTCGCGCCTCCAGGGCGGAGCATTCTTGTAGCGCGAGGCCTGGCGGGAGTTGCAGTCTGCGGTTTATCAAGGGCGCGGTGGCTGCCGGTTGTTGTAGTCGTGTGTCCTCTCCCTATTTTCTCCAGCGGGCGCCTCGCTCAGTCTGGCGGCGACGGTATGGCAGCGGGCAGGTCTGTGCGAGCGGCGCGGAGTTGCTTGAGCCCTCTGCTCCAGTTGAATTACCCTCAGTTCCACTCCAACAGGTACGGCCCGGTCATTCTTTTATCAGTCGCGTTGTCTTTCGGGCTGGTTCTCCTCCATCGCTGCGGGAAAGACGGGCTAGTCGCTTTTTTTTGCTGGCCTGCCGAGCGCTAGCTTGAAGGCGGCTTTTCCAAAGCGTGCATGGCGGAGCGGTCCCTCTTGGGGCTGGAGGGGGCGGCTGCGTGCTCCCTCTTTGCAGAGCAGCTCTCCGAAGCGGTGCTGTTTCGGAGGCTGTTCCGACTTAAAGCGTTTCCCCTTGGGTGCCCCTTGCGGCTCTCGGAGAACCACGAGGCGACGCGGGAGCCGCCGCCGCCTGCCTCCCAGATTCCCTCGCTATAGTATCCCCGCCTGTGCTCAGGAATGGCATCCAGCCATTGGCACTAACAGGGGGCGCGTCTTGGCTCCCGTGTGCATCTTTTGCAAAGCGGCAGCTTCCAGAGAATTTGGGCTAACTTGTGGGTTTCCTCCTCCTCCTCTGCAGAGAAAGAAAAATGCGGCCAGCTGGTGGACTTGCGTCGTCTGGGCGGCGCTGAATGCTGCTGGAGCTCATGAGGCGGCCTTTCTTGAGATGCGTGCAAGATCGGCGGCCGCTCAGCCCATCTTTTCCGTCGGGCGAAAGAGCCATTTTGCCTGGTGCGGGTGGGGAGGAAGCGTGGGGGCGGCATTCGTTTCTGGGTAGCTGCCTGCGGTTTATGAGCGAGAAGTGAGCATAGCTGAAGCCAGGAATAGAGGCGGCCCCAGCCTCGCTCCCCCACCCACCTGGTCTTTCCACCTTTCTTTCTCTCGCTCTTCCCTCCGCGCAGGCTTGTTTCTCCCCGCACACTTCAAATGATTTGCCTTCTATTTTACAGCCCCTGATTTTCAGGTTCCCCTCCCCCACTCCGGCACTTTAGCTCCGGGGCTGCCTGAATGCAGGAGCAATCCCGCAGAAAAGATGTGGGGGGAGGGGCGGCTCGGGAGAGGGGATTTTCAGTGAGAAAACCAGGCTGGAGTTTCTCTACCACTTGTCTTCGTTTCTGTAATGGAGTTATGCAGCTGCTTCCAAGTTTTCTGAGCAGCTCATAGACCAAATGCAACGTTGAAATGTAATACACAGGTTTAAAATTGTTACATTAAGGCATAGGTTTTTAAACTGAGTAAACCAAGCTTACTCTTGAGATACAAAGGTAACATTCATCCCCAAGAAAATGGTGTTTGCAGGC